TACTCTTCGGATTTGGTCTTTGCTCTGCTGCAAACTTGCTAGGTGGCTTCCGCAGAGAAGCCCTTATCTTTCCACTGGAAACATCTACCACAGCTTCTCATTCTACATTTTTTAGGTGAAGCCTGGATGGTGTAGAGCTAGAACAGGCAATTTAAAGCCCCCCATCATCCTTCACTGCTGGCTATGCTGGCTGCAGCCAATGGGAGTTAATCTCCCACAAGTTTTGAAGGACATCATATCCCTTCAGAGAGCCAGTGAGGTGTAGTGGTTACAGTGTTTGACTGGGGACTCAGGAGATCTGGGTTCTAGTCTTTGCTCAGCCATGAAATGTACTGGATGACTTTGGTCCAGTCATGGACTCTGATCCTGAGCTACTGTGCAGGGTTGTCGTGAGGACGAATTGGGGAAGAACCACCAATTAGTGATCCTTGGAGGAAAAAAAGGCAGGGATACAAATGTAACAATAAAAATTCACCTTTATGGCCATGGCTCAGTGGTAGAGCAATTCTTGGCATGCTGATCCCTGTCTTCTCCAGGTAGAACAAAAAAAATCCTGCCTGAAACCCTGGAGATTTGCAGCCAGGCAGTGTTGGCAATGCCGATTCAGCATGAGGCAGCTTCCTATATTTCTTGGGACAGAGGATACGAAACTGTTCCCCCCACACCCCAAACCTGCCTCTTAAGATCTGAACATGACCAGGAATTGACTTGCTGAGTATCTGCAGGTTTTTGCAAAATGGTAATACAAACAAAGAAATGAGCAACCTCAGCTCCCAATCCTACTTTTCAAATATGGGTCTAGAGGGCCAGTGGGAACAACAATGGTGGGGATTCAAGGGGGAAGAAGCCAGCAGGGCTGAGATTAAATCACAGCACCACTCAGTGAGTGTGTGCACATACATGCGTTCGCATGTGTGCTCCGTTCAAACGTGATTGCCCCAAGTGTAATTTCGAGGTGGTACGGTCCAGGACTGCAGGTGGCGCAGTGGTTTAAACCGCTGAGCTGCTGGGCTGGTTGATGGAAAGGTCGTCGGGTCGAATCTGCACAACGGAGTGAGTTCCCGTTGCTCCGTCCCAGCTCCTGCCAACCTTGCAGTTCGAAAGCATGCAAATGCAAGTAGCTGAAAAGGTACCACTTCGGTGGGCAGGTAACAGCGTTCCGTGCACTTCGGTGTTTAGTCATGCCGGCCACATGACCACGGAGACTGTCTGCGGAAAAATGCTGGCTCCCTCGGCCAGGAAACGGAGGTGAGCACCACCCCCTAGAGTTAGGCATGACTGGACTTAATGTCAAGGGGGAACTTTTACCTTTATGGTCCAGGACGAAGTGCACCCCAAGAACATTCTGGTGCTACTTGTTTCATCCAGCATTGGAAAAAATTTCTGGAGGGCTCTTTGCTCAAGAGAGGTTTTGGACATCTGATTTTCATGTCCAAGTCATTCCAATATTTGTGAGGCTGGCAAGTGCTTTGACAGAATGACAGACTGGCTGATTCACTCTCACTTAAAATGTATTTTCCTGAACTGATTCCGGTGTCGTGGTGCAAGATCAGGGGCAGTCACACACCCAAGCAGGAAATCTTCCAACCAAAGTTAAGGTCTTGCAAATCCATTGATGTGTGGGAAGGGAGGGGACTGAACATGTGCAGTCAACACAACATATGTATTTTCTTATTGAAGCTTCAATCCCGTACAGCCTTCCCTGAGAAAAGGTCCCACTGAACTTAATAAGGCCAACTAATGTTAATTTATTATGTAGGTTTTTTTTTAATTTTTAAGCTGAGATGCACCGGGTTTTAATATTTTTATTGTATAATTTTTAAATGCTTATGTTTGTTTTTGTTGTGAGCCGCCCTGAGGCTTTGTTGTGATGGGGGCGGCATAGAAATGTTTTAAATAAATAAATAAATAAATAAATAAATAAATAAAATAATGTATGTGTAGGATTATTCTCTTGGTAGGTAAGTCTATAAATGGCATTGATGAGTCATCTCCTCAATCCCTGAGCTCAACTGCTGTCTTATGCATGCCTACTCAAAAGTAAGTCTCACTAAGTTCAATCAGCACACTCCCAGTTAACTTACTTGAATGATTTCTACTGTACCTTTCAGCATGCCCAGAACCTAAATTGTAGTCTTTTAAAGTGCCTGGTTTGGGGCTTTTCTACACGAGACATGAGTCCTTTACCCAATTTGTTATCCCCCCAGATGTCCCCCGTATCTCCCAGCTATTTTCCTGGAGTACCCCATCATTGGTGAAAGAAGCCTTAAGCCAAGTCTTAATTCTGCTCTGTACCACACTGCCACCTTGGGTTGTGTAATGAGCTTACAGGAACATGGAAAGAGGAAAAAGGAGCACGCTTGGAAAAAACACTTTTGTGTAAGGGACTCTCTGATCCTCCTGCAAAAAAGACGAAAGAAGTCTCAGTAAAGAACCGGGTTCAGTGCTTCATGTAGCGAAGCCCAATAATGCACTTATTGTATTTACTCCTGCAACTGGTTAACAGTGAGCAAAATTAGGATGTGGTACATTTGTGGCTGTTTGGATACAAGTTCCTGGGGCAGGAGAAATTTGACCATTGGAGAATGAAAAATCAGTTGTAAATTGCAAGTTTCGATTCATGAGAGATTTTTACTAAGGCTTCTTTTTCTGTTTTCATTATGGGAGGGAAAATGCATCCTTTACATGGCTCTCTTCCCTTTGGGGTTGGTATTTCTCCGCCTTTCTATAGGTTCACTTAACCAACCACAAGGTGGCGCTCTGAGACAGCTGCAATAGGGCGTGATCCTGACTTTATAGAGGCTTTTGTTTGGGTTTGAATGTTAATAGCTGGCTTTCCTTGTGCTAGAAAAGAGTTGATGAGATGGCTCTGCAACACGGGGAAGCCCTGGAGGGCAGTGGAAAGGCCCTACAAATTTCTGTGAGTGAAGGGTCACCAGCAGAGAAGCCCTTTGCTACCTGTGCATGTGAAAACTGGACAGTGAAGAAACCTGGCAGGCAACACGGGTGTCCTCAAAACCAGGGACTGGAGGAGAGCTGTGCAAATATCCTGGAGCAACAGAGAGACAAACAAGAGGGTCCTGGATCAAATCAAGCCAGAACTGCCCCTGGAAGCAAAATGCCAAAACTGAGGTGGTCATATTTTGGGCACATCATGAGAAGGCAAGACTCCCTGGAGGAGACAAATTATGCGAGAGACAGTCAAATTCCAGAGAAGAGTAAGACCGACCATGAGATGGATTGACTCCACTAGGAATCCAAAGGCTTGGCACAAAGCAAGAAATGATCTGATGGCACAGAACAGCAGAGACGTTTCATAACAATTATGATTATGATGTTCTTTTACGAACTCTGCGTCATTTATATAGAATTGGCCCAAAAGGATGTGATCAAATATGCACGGCTTCAAAGAATTGATGAAACAGCTTACACAAGTGCATCAATCAATCAATCAATCAATCCAGTTTGCAAGCCAGTTCGTTCTTTTTGCTTCCACTGCCCTGATATGAATCTGAGCTGCCCATGGAATTTTCAGTTAGTTACTTGTTAGGTATGAATGAAAAGAGAAACTTTGCATATCAGATAGCTCCTTTACATATCACAGGAGCTATGAAAAATTAATAATATTCCAGTCTTGCCCCATCCCTAGCTAGTTGTGGGAACAAGCTATGATTTAAGTTTATTTCTTTTTTTAACTTTTGAAAGTTTGGGAAGTAACAGCATTTTCCCAGAGATCCCTGAGGTGGCCACTGGATTATGTTGTCACTCTGCAAATGGGTAAACCATATGCAGTGAAAAATGTTATAACATAAGTGACCCCCATATTTTATAGCAGGCAGCCCCAGCACTGGTTTCTCTCATCTCTGGGGTGGATTAATGTCAGTTTAATTATGTAGCATAAATTGGGGCTGAGCAGACTTCCAGTTTCTGGGATCTGCTTTGTTTTGCTTAGCTGTAATCACACCACCAAGATTCACAGCCTGCAGCCACACGCCTGCCTGGAGGCTCAGTGAAGGAGTGAGATGCTTGAGATTAAAGAAGGAACACATTTTTGGCCAGGAGGCTGGAACTCAGCTCTCAACATTTTCATATGAAAATATGACCCAAATTCTTCTCCCCACTGAGTTTCTTTTGTTTTAGTAAGCAGGCAGAGAGAGAGAGAGAGAGAGAGAGAGAGAGAGAGAGAGAGAGAGAGAGAGAGAGAGAGAGAGAGAGAGAGAGAGAGAGAGATTGGAATTGGTTAAACTGCTGGAAGTTGGAAATCTAGGCTGATCTTTGAGAACTTACCCAGATATCTACCAGAAACTCCCAAACTAGTTCTTGCTGCTCCATGGCATAAAGCTTTGTTCATAATATTTGTGGATCTGGAGAACATAAAGGCCTTTCCAAACCAACTGATTATTTATTTATTTATATCCCACCTTTTCCTGCAAGGTACCCAAGCGGGATGATATAGTCTTCTTCCTTCTCTCCCTTGAGGTAGATTAGACTGAGAGTGAGTGACTGGCCAGAGTTACCTGGTTGGCCTCACGCCAAATGGGGACTAGAACCCGGATCTCCCAACTCTCAGTCCAGGGCTGAACGTAACTTTCCTCCTGCTCAAGCCAGTGTTCAGAAGCAATCGTGTGCCCATAACCTTTTCTCTTAGCCCTCCTGACTTTTTCTCTCTCTCTTTTTCTTAACCTGGGTTCAAAAGAGTATTTTTGAATTTTGCAGCTCAGACCCAACTTGTGCCTTATACTTAGGTTCTTGGGCAAGTTACTTTTCTTGTGATCTCACCAGCACAGTGATAACTGCATGAATGGGCAAGCACCTTCTTCCCTGCCATGGCAGCCATTTTGCAAACCCATCTCTCAAAATTCCAGAGGTGGCCAGCAGCCCCCAAAGAGTAGCAACCTCTCCACCAGAGAGGTCCCAGCCCTGGCAGCCCTCAGAAGCAAACACATACAGAACACTTTGACGGAAGCTGCTCTTTCTAACCTGCACTGGTTCAAACCAGGTTACTTCCAGCATTTCTGGAGAGAATTGTGAGGTTGGATCTTCAATTTTTTGGGGCACAAGAGTTTAACAAAAGCTCTCCTGAAGCTGTAGTGGCAGAGTGGGTAAAGGATTGGATTGATGGCAGAATTGACCCATAGAAGCCAGAAAGATGTCTCATACCAGAACTCGGGAATGCAGTGACCATGGCAGGCGGCTCGGATAATCATAAGAAGTGTGTACGGAGCCCAACAGAGGCCAAAAATTCCCACAATGACGGCCAGAGATTTGGCTACTTTTTTATCCCTGTTGAGCCTAAAACGTGTCATGTTTTGGGAAGCCATCTTCATCTGTTTCTCCAAAGAATGCGTGGACATCAACTCCTTATCACTCCTTTTGCTAGAGGGTTTCCGTTTGCTGTTGAGAGGCCCAGTGCTCTCTGTGTTTGAGCCCTCCAAATATTTTGCATCCATGTCCTCCTGGGCGTGTTCCTCTTGAGCCTCCCACTTGGGAACATCCAGGGTTTCTGTAACATCTCTCTGCTCCCACTTACAGCATTTCATGGAGAACTTGGATTCTGGACTCATTTCTGTCTCTTCCATGAAATTCTGGCTCTGTGGTGCATGTAGCACATCAAAGCGGACCTTAGTGCGTTTCTGGATGTTCAAGTAAATGCTCAAGTTGAAAAACAACACGCTGATGAAGGGGGTGAAGAACTCAATGGTGGACGCTGTGATGAGAAAGTACCAGTTGTAGAAAAACTCAGCATAGCATTCCCCATCAGGTATGATGCTTTGACCAGAAATGTATTCCCAGCTGATGATTGCAGGTCCATATAACAAGAAGGCTAAGAGCCACACCATCACCATCTTGAACAGGGCTCGCTTGGTGTCTCCTTGCTGAGCTCGGTAGGAGACCTGCAAAGCATGAACACGGAGGTACTATGATTAGATATGACAGATCACATCCACCAGGAGAATCCCAGAGATAAAAACTCCAAAGACAATCCGGAAATAAAGCATTGATTATCCAGCCAAAGACGATCCCCACCCTCTGTGCCTCCTATATTAAGCCTTCCTGGCACACCCTCAAACTTAGCCAGTCTCTGTACTGTTCCCGTCCACTCCCATCCCCTAGCTGGCTCCTTCTAATTTGGCAGATCTCCTAGGATTCTAGGAGGCTGGCCAACCTTCGATTCATTCATTGGTCACATTTATTTATTTATTATTTCATTCGATTTCTATGTCACCCCATAACCTGAAGGCTCTTTGGGCAGCTTACACATGCTAATACGGCATAAAATACATAGAATACAATAAAACGATTAACAATCATATAAAATAGAGAAAGCAATAAAAGAATAGGTAACATTTCATAACAGAATATACCCACACACCCTAATAAATACAGCCAGTAAATTAACCAAAAACTAAAAATAAGTAATCCACAACAAAGTATAACAGCATTAAATTACATTAAATTATTAAATTAAATTGACCAAAAACTTGTTTAAATAAACACACACGCATGCGCACACACCACCAGCCAGCCAACACTCTCCGAGTGGTCCATGACAAGAAGCTTCTTTCTGATGTGATTGTTTTCTTCACGAAGGGCCTCTTGGCAATGCATTCAGTGCGCAGAGCTCTGCATTTATTTTTTTAAAACTGTTCTACACCATCCCTGACCGTGGTCTTGCATCGCGCAGCTCAGTTCTCCTGAAGGCATAAACTGGGCTCAGCAGGACCAGTGAGAGAAGAAGGGAACCAAAAGAGGACCGGTCTGCTTCTTACAGAATGCTGCCCTGTGGACATCCTCACCAACGGTTCCTGTTTACTGGGGACAGTCACCGTTTTGCAGCCCCAGCACTTTGGGGAAATCAATCTGCAAATAAACTCTGATGTGCAACAGTCTTCCAGGGTCTCAAGAAGAGGTTTTGCCATCGCCTGCTTCCTGGCGTCAACAGGAGAAGCCAACAGTCAACTCTCGGACCTTCTGTATGCAAACCACGTGTTCTGCCACTAAGCTATGATCACTCCTTTAACAGTGCAACCTTCTTCTGGTTACATGCACGGACTTCTCTGAGAAGGAAGCCTCAGTTCTTACACACCCAAAAATACCCCACCCCTAGAACACAGATGTAAACAGGTTCATATATGATGCATTGGCCCATCTGTAGGGGGTTTGCCTGTGCAGAGACTGTATGAGCAAAGCGGATGGCTTAAGAACAGAGCCGTTTAATTTCCCGAGATTTCTGGAGCAGACTCTGCCCCAGGAAAACTCATGTTCTGTACTTAAATAAATGTTTCAACACAATGCATTTGCATAAAAGCAATGCTAATTGTATCAATGGTTTAAAAAGGCTTTTAGCCTCCTCTGAACTACTGTTCACCATTATTAACATTTGGCTTTTTGTAGCTCAGTCAATTACTTCATTAGTTCCTATGCTTAAATGCATGCTATTTATATAATATTATATATATGATAGAGAGAGAGAGAGAGAGAGAGAGAGAGAGAGAGAGAGAGAGAGAGAGAGCGCTATTCTGAGTAGAACCTGGCCAAGATGAACTTTAAACTGCATGTCCTTGAAAAATAGCTCCAAGTAGGGGGAAGTTTGAAATGCCTGTTTTCATTTAACACATTTAGGCTACAATCTTATACAAGTTTAGGGTCTACAGTTGTTTAATGTCTTACAAAAAGAAGGCCTACAGTTTCCAGCCTATCCCAGTCAACTCCCAGTCATGGTCGTTGTAGGCCATTTCTCCATCTGAGTATTAAGACTGTGACTTTATTCTGACCTAAGCTTTCAGGGACAGCCACATCATCAAATGCAGAAAATCTGCCCCTCTCCAACATGTTAGACCGAACATTCCCTTTGGCATCAGTGTGAATTCTTTACCCAAAAGTGCTAGTCGTGTGGGGTTGATTTTCCTTCCAGTTGGGCCAGGTCACATTTCCTACTTGTGCATCACATTCCAGATAAGGGTAGCACCCTGATTCCACCCTCAGAATTGCAATGAATTGCAGTAAAAATACAGGATGCAGCTTCATGGCATGCGAAACAAGCATTCACTTTGGCCCCCAGAAATTTCAGCTGCAGAGACAGTGAGGGTGAGCCCTCAGTGCCCCCTGAGGGGGAGGGACAGGACTGCAAGGATGCCCCACCACTGGGCAGAGTGAGATGGGGGCCACAAATACTGGGAGAGGCCATGTAGAACGCAGGACAAGGCCGTATGGAACCCCCGAGCCACCTCGTTGGCCTGTGATGCTGTGGAGGACATTCTCCCAATCTCAGTGTGGAATTAAGACGCAGCTGCCTTTCCAACCAATTCCCAGAATTAGGGGTGGTGTGGCTCCACCTGGTCCTTCACATTGGACATGAACTGCCTTGGGAAAGCCCTGTGAAAAACAGTGGCTGTCCCTAGTAAACAGGAACCGTTGGAAAGGATGCCCACAAGACAGCCACCAGTAAGAAACCAGCTGCATCATTTTCACAGTGCAGAATGCAAACAGCTCTGTTTCCAAGCCATGGGTTATGCATATTCTGGAGCCAAAGGTAGGCAAACCCACCACCCATGGGCCAAGAGACCAGCATTTATCTCTCTGTTCTGCCCCTCCATATAAAAACTGTTCTGCTCTGCAGGGTGTTGGGTGAGCTTATCTGGGGTGTGAAAGATCCCAGGCTTAATTCCCAGAAAAGCTCATGGAAGCAGCAAGATTTAGGTTGCATCTTCAGGGGAGCAGTTATAGCTTCACAGCACAGTATATGCTTTATTTATATGCTGATTTGCTTCCCTAAAGGGTTGGGCTATGAAATAGGGAATGTCCCTGATAAACAGGAACAGTTGGAGATGATGCCCTCAAACCAGGTCTTTTTTCTCCTCTTCTTCTCTCCCGTCCCTTTGTTGAGCCCAGTTTATGCATGCAGGAGATTCAGGCTATAGAACATTTCTCAGGCTGTAAAATGAAGGCAGAGGCCCTCAGGCTAATTTTGTTTAAAAGTCCTGCATATAAGCCAGTGAAAGGCATAGATATTTCTAGTGAAAGGCAACACACATACGGACAGTTTTTAGATATTTCTGCTTATCTACTAGGGAGATAAGGGAGTAGCAGATACACAGCAATCCATCTTAAATACCACATTTGCTATTTTAAATCCCTCTTTACTTTTTTAAAAAAGCAGCTATTCCACTTCCATGACTTCTCTCATTTTGTTAGCTTTAATTTTGCATGGCACCTGTTACATTAATACTGTGTTCTCTACCATTGAAAGTGTTCTTCTCTAGCAAAAGAATGGAATCTAATTTCTTGCCCAAAATATATTTTACCCAGTTAATACTGTTAATCCCAGCAACTAGAAAGTTAACCAATTAATTAGCTAGTCCTCACAAATATAGAGGAAATGTTGAAAATGGCTAAACAATTTGTCAAAGACTAACAAAACCCAAGGAAGGCGTGATGTAGGGTATATGATTCGTAGGTATCTTCCTCTGTGCTTCCACTCCCGCCCCACTCTATTTCCAGTCTCAACTTCTTCTTCGTGTGCTAAGTTGAATAATTTATTGGGATGGCAAGATGTTCAGAGTATTGGCTCATTCAGAATTCTAGACTCCCATCACTTCTGCACCTCCTCGAACACACACACACACGAGAGAGAGAGAGAGAGAGAGAGAGAGAGAGAGAGAGAGAGAGAGAGGCAGATTCACATCAAACAAATATTGAATCTTAATTTTTGAAAGTGACATGTCAAATGTGGCTAGAATTATAGGAGATGTTAAGATGTCCTCCTTATAAACCCATCCCCGAAAGGAAAGGCCTGCAAAAGAACAGCGTTTTCAGGAGGTGCAGAGGCGGTTGACCACACTGGGTCCGACCTAGCTCAATATCATCCACAATGACTGGGAGAGGTTCTCCAGGGTTTGAGGCAGAACTTTTTGTGAGTCCAAGGTTTGAGCCTCAGACCTTCTGCCTGGAAAGCAGCTTCTTCACCACAAAGTAGAAGAAGGGAGAAGGAGTCCTCTCCCAGGCACCCACAGAAATCTGCCTTCACAGCTTTCCATCAATTCCTCTCGACCTGGATGGGCTATATAATAGGAGTTGGGCATCTCTTCCATCGCAAGAGCCAAACTCTGCTTGGGAGAGGCTCTTGGGGACTGTATTCCAGTAGTGGACAAAGACAAAGAGGAAAGGGCAAAGGGCAAAAAGGGTTGACTCCCCCAAATCCTCTCCTACTGTAGCTTAAAGCACATCCTGCCGGTAAATAAATCTTTGGGGAGGCATTTCAACCTTTTAATTTGGGGTGGGGAGAATTGCACAAGCCAGGAAACCTCCATTCGTGGTTGGGAGGGAAGAGCGACCTCTAGAGATTCTTGCAAGACCAGGTTTTGTCCCTGCCCTGAGGTTCCCCAGCCTTGGTACAAGTGCTTCTAGAGCTGGCCAATACATTGACTTGATTTCTTGTTTTCCAGTCCATCTTTCCTGCTCTCCCTGCATCCATTGCCTGTTAGGTGCCCTTCCCTTTTGCTCAGGCTCCATTTCTCTCTGGTATGCACTGCCAGCTCTCTACTAGGGATGGGAGAGGAATCAGTTTGATTCTTGCTTCAGTACAACCTTACCTAATTCCCTACTTTCAAACCAAAATTCAGTGATCTTTAGCCATTAGCAGTCACCCAAATTTTGCAACTGAGTGCTCTAGATCCCCCCCCCACTCAAATGTGCAGAAAAACTGGAGGCCACATGTACACAAAAATGTATATATATTACTGAAAAGAGCATTTCTGATGCATCATTATCAGGCAGAAATTGCTTAACAAAATGCACATATTAGTCAAAGTGCATAGCTAACCTACATACTGGGAAAAAACGTGACTATGTATTTTCATGGGAACTTGAGAAAAGGTTTGAGAAAATAGAACCAAGACTGGACAAGTTCAAAACTGAGAGAAACTTAAAGAGTCCTTGGTTTGTACTAGGCTACAGTTTCAACTATTCCTGACCTTGGTTCTTACTATCTGTAGGACTTGTCACTGTACACCAACAACTTGTCCCAACTTGGTCTTGGGACAACCAGTTTTCATACCCTGGCTTGGAACTTGTCCTAAAGCAGGACTTCTAGTCCTTGTCCTCAGAGGACACCAAACAATTGTCCTCAGAAGAAGAGACTCCAGGGTTCATGGTTCGAGGAAAGCATTTGCCAGTTCCCTGGCATTCCACTTCCCCAGAAGGACTCCAGGGGTCAATTTCCCTGCATCAGGAGAGGTTGCATTGCTCTCTTCTGACTCATGGAGACTCTGCCAACTCTGCCTCTCTCACATTCTTGCAGCTTGAGGCTGCTAAAAAGACCAGGCCTCCTTAAGACCAAAAGACTCAGTTAAAATGACAGCACAGCCAAGCAGCCTAAAGAAAGCCGTGCTCCTATTTCAGATTCTGTCTTGACCTGCTCCTTGTTGCAGCAACACAGTATAAAAGCAGGAAATGTTCAAGCTTTGAACAATTTCTGGTGAACTAGGCCTGGTTGGAAAGTTACCATGTATGTGCTGAGAATGGTCATTAGTACATGTTCTTTAGAAGGCTCGGGATGCTGTAAATTACACTTCTTTGGGATAACCTCAGACAGCCCAAGTGTAGGCTAATATAGCAGCATATAAATTGAAATAATAAAATAAAATAAGTAATCTGTGTTTGTTATATCTCACATTTTGTTTTGACACATGATGGTATCTGTGCCTCTTATAAATAAACATTGAAGCAGGCAGAAAAGATAAGTGTTTGTTAATGGGTGCATCTGGGATTATTGCAGCTTGCATTCCATAGTTTCAGGATAGGTTGCCATTTCCCTCTGCATAACTGAGGCGAAGGAAGGAAGGAAGTTTTCTTTGTGGGGAGAAATAACTTGTTGCTGGCGGGGGAGACTCTGTCAGTGTCAACTCTGTCTCCTGCAGTAGCTGGTGCTGAGTACTTTCCTAAGCCTACTTGCTTGGATGGATGTAAAAAGTTCCATTTCTTGTACAATACTAACAACCCAGAAGGTGACCTGCAGGCACATAAGGCATTCACCATGCTGAAGCTAAGCAAGCCTGGGGCTGGCTTGGGCTTGGAAGGAAGACCACTGGGGAACTGCATGCAGACCCCTTGAGTTCCTTGACGGGAGAATGGCAGGATAGAAATATAATAATGAAAGAAAGGCTTTCAAATGGTCTCCAGGCGAACACTTCTCATTCATTACGCCAGTCTACCTCAGCCCTGTGAAATCTGCCCTTTCCAGACCCCAAAGAGAGAAGACCTGTTTTCTACGAGAATCCTGCACTTAAGTGACAGTAATGCCTAGCAACGGGAGCCGCCCCAGACGTCAACGGGACCCACGGAGCGATTCAGAACTACACACCTCCCTTTCCGCCCCCTGCCCCTTCAGATCTCTTTCCTGCCTCTGGCCCTCCCCAGTCGAAAGCCTTTCCAATTCCTCCCAGGAAACTGGAGGAGGTGAAAAGAGGTTACGGCTCCAAACCATGCTGAAGGGGACGGGAAAGATGCTCCGTCTGCTCTTTTGCACTCACCGCTCTTGTCACAGAGAGGAATCTGTCGTAGCTGATCAGCACGATGTTGAAAACCGAAGTAGTGCACAGCAAATAATCAACCACCAGCCAGAACTTGCAAAAGCCTCTTCCAAAGGTCCATCTCCCGATCAGCACATAGGGTATGTACAGGGGAATACAAAAGGCACCTGAAAGGAGAGGGCTTAGTTTACATTTACTTTTCCAGGCATGTATCTGCTGCCCATCCCCCCCAGCATAAAAGGGCACAGGCTGAGTAAAGCTTAGCCATGGTTTTCAAACAAAACAGTAAACTTTGGCTGCCTGCTGGAGTATCACCTGCCTCAAAGGGGATGGATCAGTTATGGGCATCTTGATCATCTCTGCAAATACTGTGATGGATGCAGGAGCTCATTTGTGATGGAGGAAGGAAAAACGCTCATGCAGGACTGAGAGAAAGAAAGGCAGTTTTGTTGTTCTGCTGAAGGCCAAGAGGGAAGGATGGACTCAGAAAAGCATCTCATGAGGACAAGCGTCTTTCAGGGTTACGTTCTTGTGGTCATATTCAAAGCAAAGCAGATGAGGGAAAACAGTCCAAGCCGAACTCATAGGCACTTTAGTCATTTCCCAGTTTATTCTTTGCACAGAACCAGTGTGCAAAGCGGAAGCACAGATTCTCCTGTTGTTCATCCTAAAGCCCTTCACTTCCCCAACCTCCTAGCAAGAGCACAAAAAATCTTTGGAGAATAGTATTTATCTAAAAGTCTGTCTAGATAAATCAGGGGTCGGCAACCTTTAACACTCAAAGAACCATTTGGACCCATTTCCCACACAAAAGAAAACACCAGGAGCCGCAAAACCCTTTTGACATCTAAAATGAAGATAACACTGCATATATCATTTTTTACCTTAATGTTATGTATCTCTTCATTATGATTTAATGAATGATGAGCAGCTCGTGTTCAGTCACTAAAAACTGTTACTTTTAATCTTACATTATAAACTAGTAGGACTCCTTTCATATATTTTGAATAGGAGAACAGCTTCCTGAAGAGTCAAAGTCAGTGCTCAAGGGCTGCATGCATTAAACAGCAAACCCCATAAGTTCGTCAGCAGTAAAAGCAAATGAATCTACCCACGTACCATTAAACATTTGGTTTTCTTCAGAAACTTTTCTTTTCTTTGATTGAATAACATGGTTGGCCTGGGGGGGGGCTGGGGGGGGGACTCAATAAATCTGTGTGGATCCACAGATGTAGGTGTGTTTAGTGACTGATCAGCAGATAAACAGTCAAGTGTTGTGAATTGTGACAGGTCCCAAGCGCAGCTTTTAACATTCAGATGAAAGAGATTACATTGGGACAAAGAGAATCCTTTCAGCAGGTTACAGTTTTGTGTAACATGAGAGCCTGCAGGAAGCTTGTTTAGCAGAGGAATGTAGGGGTTTACTTAACTAGCTGATTTACTTAACTAGCTAGCGCTGAGTGCAGCTTCAAGCGGACCAGCGGCTGTGCGGGTGCGTATTTTGACTGATGGAGCCGCAGCAGAGGGGTTCAAGAGCCACATACGGCTCCGGAGCCGTGGGTTTCCGACCCCTGGCCTAAATCAAAGAAAAAAGAGTTGGCCTCCGTCTCCCCTCCTTTCCCCTCTTTCCCTCATATAATGAATATGTTTAAGAAACCAAGGAATAAAAACCAAGGAATTCAAATGCACTGAATGTAAATCAAAACAGAATAACCAGGATAACTCATTGGCAGTAGCTGAGTAAACTATGAATATTCAGATTTCACAATTATGAAAAGATCAATAAGTAGCTGACTGCATCAAGAAATTAATCAGGCTATCATGCTGTGATCCTGATGACACATCAGGCGCCAAGAAACAAAAAACACATTTCCTGAAAAATAATATTTTTCTTTTGTTTGGTGGAGTCTGTTTGCTTTGTTTTGTTTGGAGGGCTTGTTCCCCTCTCCATTTTTTCCACGTATTATTATATCGCTTATGTTTTGTTTAACTGCTAATCTCTCTCTCTAAGATAAATGATCTTTTGGTAACTCTGGGCCATTGCTACTTGTTTTATTGATCCTGGTCGGCATGAAGCTATTATTGTTCATCACTGGCAAATTCTACAGTGAAGATTAAGTGAGATTAGGGGCTCCAATCCAGTTATAGTCAGTCCACAGAGAGACTCCCCTTGCTCTTGTTTAAATGCTTTTTGGCATCAAAAAATACCTTTAAGGTGCAATCTTGCACAAATTTGGGCAGAAAAAGGCATATAACTTCTGGCAAGCCCTGGCAGATTGCTGGAATTGTCGGCCCTTCTTTCAGTTGAATTATGCATAGAAGTTCATTCTTACAGTATCTTAAGGCTTCAGCCTTGTACACCCTTACTGGGGAGTAGCATTTATTGAACTCAGTGGGACTTACTTCTGAGTAGGCATGCACAATTGCACTGGAACTATATTTGAAATTATGAAATCATTTTAAATCATTGTTATCTTAGTTGCTGCATTTCACTGTGGTTTTATGTTTGAGCATCACCTAAGTGCATCGTGGCCCTGAATGTGTGTGTGTGTGTGTGTGTGTGTGTGTGTGTGTGTGTGTGTGTGGAGAGAGAGAGAGCACATTATCCGATACATTTGACACATTACAGGATTTGTGTTTTTAATTTCTTTTCATTCGCCATTACCCAGAATACACCTGTTACAGGGATGCTTGATAAATGTAATAAACAAAATTAACAATAAACATTATTGCTACTGACATCCAATTGTTTTCAGTGGAACCTACTGTAGAATATTATTATTACATTGCATTTATATCCCACATTTTTCCCTTCTGAGGAACCCAAGACAACTTATAGAACTCCATATTATCTTGCAACAACAACCCTGTGAGGTAGGTTGGACTGAGAGTCTGTGCCTGAGCTTCAAGACCAAGCGAGGACTAGAACCCAGATCTCTCAGGTCCCCAGTCCAACACTTCAACTACCACACCACACTAGTTCTCTGGGATAGGCATGTTTACTCAGAAGTAAACCCCACAGTGTTTGAAGGAAACTTACTGAGATGTGAATTTACATAGGATTACAGTTTTAGACTGTAACCACAAAGACACTTACTTGGGATTAAACTAAATTGAGTATAGCAGGACTTATTGCTGAGAGATATGCAAAGGATCATGCTGTTAGTCACACAATTCATTCCAGTTGTTGTTGTTGTCCTGTTACATGGATAATTCACTTTTCTTCCTCTTGCAAGGAACTTGAGGCACCTTGCAAAGTTTTCCTCTTCTCCATGCTATCCTCCCAAGAACCCTGTGAGGTAGGCTAGGCTGAGAGTATGGCCCAAATTTATCCAGTGACCTTCACGGCTGAGTGAGGACTATAACCTCAATCTCTCAAACTCCCATTCCAACACTGACTCAAACTAGATTGGCACTGTATCATAATAATAACAAATATTAATGGGTCAAGTTTCCAGGTTTTCTTGGCAACCATTATTCCTATTCCTCTCCAAATCCAAGTGGCTTGCATAGGCTGCATTGCTAATTAGATGAAAGCAGCAGCTTCAGGAATTAATGTATTTACCAATCAATATGGTTTCAGATTAGTGTCTCCAACCATTGTTAATGCAGAAGTGCAGGGATGGAGCTGAGCTGGGACGCATTATTAAGCATTGCTTTCCCAAGCAGAGGTGGTGTTGCAGGATGGAGCCCTCAATCTCTGGAAAGCCACCAGCATCACTGCCCTGCTGTCCACGGGCCCCTGCTAAGATAAAGGTCCAGGGGCCCAGATGGTCTCTGTGGCATCAGAGCCGCCAGACTAGTGGCTTTTTGCCAACTTATATTTCACCCCCTGCTGCCACCCTCCATCTTTCTGCTGAGGTTTTTCCGAAATAACATGCTTTTCTCTCCCCTGTCCAAATATCTCTTTTTACAAATGGGGTATTCTTCGAAGACAGGGTCCTTTAAAGACACATGGACTTCTTTCAGTCATAAGAGAGCCAGTGTGGCGTAGTGGTTAAGAGCATGGGACTGGGACTCAGGAGATCTGGGTTCTAGTCCCCGCTCAGCCATGGAGCCAACAGGGTGACTTTGGGTCAGTCACAGACTCTCAGCCCAACCTACCTCACAGGGTTGTTGTTGTGGGGATAAGATGGAGGAGGAGAATGATGTAAGCTGCCTTGAGCCCTTTGTAGGAAAAAGGCAGGATATAAATCGGAAAAAAAACAAAAAAACTTACGAGTAGGTTCCAGATCACCCATCATCCTGGTCATTCTCCTCTGGACATGGTCCGGTCTGTCAGTGTCCTTAGTGCAGTATATGGCACCAGGCCAGTAGAGTGGGGGTGAAAGTACTGAACTGAGGACCTCAGAGATCCGGTTCGAGTCCCTCTCAGCCATGAAGCTCACTGGGCAGCTGTGGGCCAGTCAAAGACTCTGAGCCTAACCTACCTCATAGGGTTGTTGTTTCAGGAATAAAATGGAGGGTTGGCAAACCTCGTAACTTGCTTTGGGTTCCGTGCATGAAGAAGAAAGGCAGTGTGCTACCTCCTTTCCAGAGGTGACATGCTTGCGTACACCAAGCAGGCAGGCAGAGGTCTTGCACCCATCCTGCTGGAGGGATCCTGTGCACAGCTGGTTTGCCACCGCGTGTGCAGAGTGCTGGACTGGAAGGACTTGCATCTGGTCCTTCCAGATGCAAGGGCTCTTTTTCTGTTCTTAATATTCAGTGCCTCAGAGCATGCATGAATAACACGGGACCCCAAGCTGAGCACAGCCATGAATTTGGGCCTATCCTGACAGATGCTCAGTGACCCTCCTGTTTTTGCTGTTCCAGTTGGGCAGTGGCAACAGGAGACTTCAAGTCCTCAGCATGTAGAGCCTGGATTCCGCTTGACCTGGTGGATTACAGGTTGTGTTAAAGACTAGACTGAGGGCAGGTTGCGATGTTGTGCTACATGAAATAAGCAGAGGTTCCCTACTAAGCTCCCTGGGTGGAGGAGAATGCCTGAAGGCCCCCACACTTGACTAGTATGTGAAGAGGCGGTGCAGGTAGGAAGGGGTTGCAAGGCCCTGCCTGGATCTTGCCACCTTCCTGGCAGAACAAAGCTGAAACCTGAAGAGACCTCTGAGGAGGAGAAGGATCCTGTGGCTGGTCCTCGTGGGTTGGGGGAAGTCGGAGGATGCTT